CGCCCCGCGAGCCCGCCCCGCCCCCCTGCCGGCCATGAACGCCGCTCGCACCGGCTACCGAGTCTTCTCGGCCAACTCCACGGCCGCCTGCACGGAGCTGGCCAAGCGCATCACCGAGTAAGGGGGGCGCGGGAGGGCCCCGAAGGACCCCTGCCCGCGGCCGTCCTGTGCTCTTCGCCTCCACCCACCCGCCCCACCTCCTGCACCTGGCCGGGGGCGGTGGGGGGTGGGGAGGGAGTCGCGGGATCCCACCGTCTCCGCTGGACACATCCTTGGAGGCCACAGAAACCCCCCGGCGCCCCCGGTTTTGCAGCTGAGACGCTTTCGGCCGACTCAGCGACTCAAGCCTCTCCGTCCCCCCTACGCGGACCGCTGGCCTTCCTTGCGTCCACCCGCTCCCACATCCCGGGGCGGGGCGGGCATTCTGTGACCCCGGAGGCCGGGCCTGGGAGAGAGGGGCTCCGGTGTGGCCCCCTTGTCCCCCGCTGGCGCTGACCCCTGAATCTGCCCGGCGCCGTTTTCGAGTCTCCTTCTGGGACGGGCGGGGGTCGCAGCCGAGGTGTGGGGACGGGCAGCGCGGAGGAGGTCGCTGCTTCGGGAAGCAGGTGGGTCGGGGCTGGTGGTGGAAATGCTGAACGTGACCACGTTTTGCAAGCCAGCTTTAGGTTGGACCGGCCGTTTGGAGAAAAGTCTTTGACTTTGTGTCTTTTTAAGCCAAGGAAGCCTGTGGTCTCCAGTGGCCTTTGGGGCCCGACAGCTCGGAGATGCCCTCCACTGGACAAGAGACTTGATTTTCCCAAACGTCGTTTGTAAAATGGGGATGATTCCATCGACTGGGCAAGGACATTGTGAACACGACGGGAAATGTAGATCACGTATCTAGCAGAGCAGGGACCCATGGTGGCCCTCTGGATAATACCTGTTTGCTAAATGACTTGTAGTTGTCTCTTTTGGAGAGTTCCAGAGTCGTAATAGTTCATTCGGAAAGGAGCCTTATGGGCCCTTTCCGAATGAACTATATAAGACGTAAGATAAATAGCTTGCCATTTAACATTTAAAGTCATTTTCACATTTAAAACAGTTTTTCATTTGTTACTTTGCGGATTTTTTCAGGGGCGATAAATAATTACATGGACATATTTTAAAATTCTAGGTGTACGTATAGAAGGGAAAACTTAGTCATACTTTTTCAGCTATGCCTGTTTTCAGATGGAATTTTAAGTGGGATTAGAATAAATATTTTTAAAAACTCCTTTTACAGTCTACTACCTAGTTTCTATTTCTAACCCCTGATTATTTGTCTTTCATTTTGAGGCCAACTAAAACACTAAATTTGAAGCTTGTGTTTGTTTGTGTTGGTTCAGATATACCACACATGATCTTGCTGAGAGAGAGCAGTAGAGAGGAGGGTGCATTTACAAAGTCAGTGGTTTTTGCTCTTTTGTATTTTGGATTCTTTCCTGCCAAATTCCAGAAGGGTTTTGAGATACTGTAAATAATAACTATTTTAGACACTTCCCTTATTTGTTTCACTTACTGAGTTTCTCAGTAAGGTTTTACTGGAAAAAAGGGTTACCATTAAACAAAGTTTGAAAATCACTAGATTGAATGACCCCTGGTCATAATATTTTATTTCCATGATTCTTTTCAGACTTTTTAAACTTCAAGCAAGGGTCTTCAAAATTCTTGATTATGCACTTGAATCAATAAAAGAGTTCACTCCATTACATTCCCTATGTGTAAGTTACGTGTGTGTTACAAGTAACCCCCAGGGTCTGTCATCCAGCCCAGACTGGAGTGCAGTGGCCGCTCCTGGCCACTGCAGCCTAGACCTGCTGGGCTCCTGCAATCCTTCCGCCTCAGCCTTCCGAGTAGCTGGAACTACAGGCGGGTGCTACCACGCCCAGCTCCTTTTTTTTTTTTTTTTAAATTTATTGTAGAGATGAGGTCTCGCCAAGTTACCTAGGCAGGTCTTGAACCCGCGTGCTCAGTCAGTTCACTCACCTCGGCCTCCCAAAGCGTGGGATTACAGGCTGAGCCACCGAACCCGGTCTAAAATTTACTTTTAACCATTTTTAAGTGCACAATTTGGTGACATTAAGTACATTAATAATGTTGTACAGCTATTACCACTATCCATTTCCAGAACTTTTCATCATCCCAAATAGAAACTCTACGTTCATTAAATTGGGACTCCCAATTTCTCCCTTCCCTCCAGCCTCTGGTAACCTCTCTTCTTTTGTTTCTGTGAATTTGCCTATTTTAGATACCATGTATAAATGGAATCATACAATATTTGTATATTTGTGTCTGGTTGATTTTACTCAGCATAATTTTTTTCAAGGTTCGTTCATGTTGTGGCACATACCAGAATTTCATTCCTTTTTAAGGCCGAATTATATTCTATTGTGTGCATATACCTGGCTGAAGTGTTTTGAAATAGATTCCACTCATGCGTCATATAATTTTGCTTGTAAAAATGGTCATACTAACTGATAAGAATTTCTTTTCTTTTCTTTTCTTTTTTTAGTGGCACGCTCATGACCACCACAGCCTTGACCTTCTGGGCTCAGGTGATCCTTCTGCCTCAGCCTTCCAAGTAGCTGGAACCACAGACATGCACTACCATGCCTGGCTAATTTTTGACAAGGAGTTCTAAAAAAACCTGGCACCACCATTAATTCCTTAATATTATGTAGTATCTAATCCTAATCCTTGTCCATACTTCTCTGGTTGTTTAAAAAATGACTTTTAAATTTATAATTTTGGTCTGGGTATGGTGGCTCAAACCTGTAATCCCGGCACTTGGGGAGGCTGAGGTGAGAGGATTGCCTGAACCCACGGGTTCAAGAATAGCTTGGGCAACTTGGTGAGACCTCATCTCTACAATAAATAAAATTAATTAGCTTGGAGTGGTAGTGTATGCCTGTAGTTGCGGTTATGTGAAAGGCTGAGGCAGAAGGAGCGCCTGAGCCCAGCAGGTTGATGCTGGGGTGGTGGTGAGCGAGCCACTGCACTCCAGCCTGGGCGACAGAGTGAGACTCCAACTCAAAAAAAAAAAAAAAAAAAAATTTTACATTTTTGGCCAGGTGCAGTGGCTCAGCCTGTAATCCCAATACTTTGGGAGACCAAGTAAGAGGATTGCCTGAGCCCAGGGGTTTGAGACCAGCTTGGGCAACTTGGTGAGACCTTGTCTCTACAATAAATCACAAAAAATTAGCTGGGCATGGTGGCATGTGTCTGTAGTTTTAGCTACTTGGAAAGCTGAAACGGAAGGATTGCCAACCTGGATGAGAGAGTGAGACTCCAACTCAAAAAAAAAAAGTTTATATCCTTAAAAATTTTAATCAGGATCCATACAAGACCCACACCATTTTGAATTAATGGCAATAAAAATCTGTATGCCTTTGACCATTGAGGCATTTACCTCTGACTTGTTTTTTTGCAGTCATTGCTAGTAACTAAGTATTTGTTTGGAAATGATTTTCTAAAACAATTATTATTCAAAGAGCAAGGAAACAGACATTAAACTTTAGTTGTGAGCTTTTTCCGGTAAAATGCTCTGTTATGAAATGGTGAGCTGCTTATGGAATGACAGCAGAATTTTAGTTCTTAATAAATTAGATTTTCCAAATTGTTTTTTAGAAAGAATACCAACCTAATTACTTGACTCTTTTTGTTAAACATATACATATGAACTGAAAATTTTTTTAAAAAGAGAGTTGTTAATTGCCTTTTTTTGTTGTTGCCTATAGGCGTCTTGGTGCTGAACTGGGGAAGTCTGTTGTATACCAGGAGACCAATGGAGGTAAGTTACAATTATTTCTTAAACATTCTTTTTTTTTTAAACCATTTAATCAGCTGTCATGTTTCTACAAGGCAAATACTACTCATATTTAACACAAAAACATTTTCTCTTTAACGTTAGAGGTATATATCATCGTTCTATACTTCCCCCTTTAAATTTTAACTTCTTTGTTCTCCTCATATGTGTATCCTTTTTTTTTTTTGAGTTGGAGTCTCACTCGGTCGCCCAGACTGGAGTGCAGTGGCCACTCCCGGCCACCGCAGCCTTGACCTGCTGGGCTCCGACATCCTTCCGCCTCAGCCTTCCAAGTAGCTGGAACTATAGGCACGCGCTACCACGCCTGGCTAACTTTTTGATTTATTGTAGAGATGCGGTCTCGCCAAGTTGCCCAAGCGGGTCTTGAACCCATGGGCTCAGGCAATTCACTCACCTCAGCCTCCCAAAATGCGGGATTACAGGCTGAGCCACCGAGCCTGGCTTAAGTGTCTCCTTTTCCTCTTTTTCCACAATGATACAAATCTATTGCTTTAGAATGAAAAAAGTATATATATATATATAAAATTTTCTTCTTACAGTGAGTAGTGTTTGATAAATATTTCTTACATTTATCGATCTCACTAGGTCATCAAGTAACATCAAGAGTGATCTGGTACTAGATAGTAATGACTTCCATAAAAACTCTCTTTCAGTTCTCTTCATCATATAAAAATCCTCTTTCTTTTTTTTTTTTTTTTTTGAGTTGGAGTCTCACTCTGTCACCCAGACTGGAGTGCAGTGGCCGCTCCCGGCCACCGCAGCCTCGGCCTGCTGAGCTCCAGCGATCCTTCTGCCTCAGCCTTCCAAGTAGCTGGAACTACAGGCACGTGCTACCACACCTGGCTAATTTTTTTGATTTATTGTAGAGATGAGGTGTCGCCAAGTTGCCCGGGCGGGTCTTGAACCTGCGGGCTCAGGCAATTCACTCACCTCGGCCAAAAATCCTCTTTGTTTCTTTTTGAGTTGGAGTCTTACTCTGTCGCCCAGACTGGAGTGCAGTGGCCACCCCCAATCACCACAGCCTCGACCCGCTGGGCTCCGGCGATC